TATAGTTCACCTACAATCAAAGAGCATTCTGAATTCCACCATTGATAGAATTGGGCCAAACTTCCCACTCAGAACCCCCATGAGCAACAGAAAACACAGTGTCTTTAAGGCCTCTCTGATACCCCCTCACATACCCCCCAGAAGTCCCAACCCCCAGGTTGAAAATCACTGACTTAGATGCTCTTCAGTGCTGGGAGTCTGGGTGTTTAAAGGGCCATCAGGACTGATATGAATCCAATCACACACTTCATCTTCTGTATACAAGTAGCCACTGACCAGTGCATTGGACTTGAACATGACCTTTCCAGCGGTGGTACCAATTATGCGAAGAAGCTTTGTGCTGAAGGAAATTTGGCTTCTTCTTCTTTTCATGCCTTTAAGTGCCAACTAAAAATGGATGTACTTAGATGTCCCTTTCATTAGGATTATCATTCTGTTGATTCTTTCTGACACTGTTTATTTTGGTCTTCCATCTCTATATTTATTATAGTCCGTAGCTTCCTTGTAGCTTCTATCTTAAAATGGAAAGATTAAAAATATCTTTTAAAAACAAGGTGACTATGAAAGTTGCTTTTGTAATGAAATGTACCTAATAATGCCTGAGCTTAATGCACATCCTGTGGGTCTTCTTTCAGTCCCATAGCCTTGGGTGGCTTTCTCTCCGTGGATTTGTATCATTATGTGAGTGAGCCTAAGGTATTTAATCTGAAGTGATTTTTTTTTGTCATGTCAGGAGTGACTTGAGAAACTGCAAGTCGCTTCTGGTGTGAGAGAATTAGCCGTCTGCAAGGACATTGCCCAGGGGACGCCCGGATGATTTGATGTTTTTATCATCCTTGTGGGAGGTTTCTCTCATGTCCCCGTATGAGGAGCTGGAGCTGATAGAGGGAGCTCATCCACCTCTCCCCGGATTCGAACCTGTGACCTGTCGGTCTTCAGCCTTGCCGGCACAGGGATTTAACCCACTGCGCCACTGGGGGCTCCATCTAAAGTAATGAAAATATGGGTTGAATTGTGTAGAGTTCAGGCTAAGTAGATTTTAGTACAAAATAATTATATATACTGTATATAAAATTACTTTAGGCTGTGTGTCTAAGACCCCTTCTACACTGCCATATAAAATCCAGATTATGTATTTGAACTGGATTATATGGCAGTGTAGACTCATATAATCCAGTTCAAGGAAGATAATGTGAATTATCTGCTTTGATAATGTGGATTCTATGGAAGTGTAGAAGGAACCTAGGATGCATATGAAACATTAATAAATTTCATAGTTTAGATCTGGGTCAAGATATGTTTCAACTGGAATAATTGCATTTTCATATACATAAGGTATCTTAGAGATGGGATCCAAGTCTAAATGTATCTTGAATGTGCATGCAACAAAGGTTTGCACATTGAACATATGCCCTCGTATGCCCTTCCACAAATGCCACTATCACCTTTTCGTCCATGTCCCATCATTATTTCCAATTTTAACTTTACATTTGGCCTTCCCACTGTTTTAATTGTGTGTTGTCTTATTGATAATGTTGTATATTTTATTGTTTATGTTTTATTGTTGTTATTGTTTGTACTGTTGTGTTTGGGCTCGGCCTCATGTAAGCCCACTGAGTCCCTTGGGGAGATGGTGGCGGGGTACAAATAAAGTGTTATTATTATTACCAAACTGTAAGCAATGAATTAGGATCCACAAAAACCTTCTTAGAATCTGGTAAAACTGGCAGGTTCCTGCTCTTGTAATCTCATAAACTGTGAATAAAGTCTGATTTTGTTTTCTTTCTCAAGTGAAAGATTACATCCATATTGTGCCTATCCTGGACTCCTTATTTATTTATCATGTCAGAAGTGAATTGAGGGTACAGTTATAATGTATTTTAAAACACAAAGTTAAAAACTTGGCATTATACTAAATGTCCTTTGACCAGAAGCTGGCCACTTGGAGTGCCTCTGGTTTCCTCCATTGTGCATGTGGCAGGGCTCAGACCGTATTGTAGTAGGTAATGTGTAGTAGGTAATGTTTGCTCATCTTCACACTTGCATGTTGTGGACTCCTGATTGAAAGGAAGAGTCTTGTCTTGATTGTTTTGGCCTGACTTAGTCTGCAAACTTGGCATTGAGTTCCCTTTTTTGTGTTTGGTTCAAAGGCATTCTAGGAAATATAGATTTTTTTTCTACACTTCCACTTTCAAGAGATTCAACCTCCTTCTCTTCCTCCTGATTTTCCTTGACATTTATTTATTATTTATTTCTACCCCTCCCTTCTCCCCCCGATTCCTTGTTTGGACTTGCAATGGTGGAGGGTTAACTTCACCTTGTGTCATGAGCTCCATAGTCACATTTAAAGTTGTGAAAAAGATCTTGGAGTCCTCGTGGACAGCAAGTTATACATGAGCCAACAATGTGATGTGGCGGCAAAAAAAGCCAATGGGATTTTGGCCTGCATCAATAGGAGCATAGTGTCTAGGTCCAGGGAAGTCATGCTACCCCTCTATTCTGCCTTGGTTAGACCACACCTGGAATATTGTGTCCAATTCTGGGCACCACAACTCAAGAAAAATATTGACAAGCTGGAATGTGTCCAGAGGAGGGCGACTAAAATGATCAAGGGTCTGGAGAACAAGCCCTATGAGGAGCGGCTTAAGGAGCTGGGCATGTTTAGCCTGAAGAAGAGAAGGCTGAGAGGAGATATGATAGCCATGTATAAATACATGAGAGGAAGCCACAGGGAGGAGGGAGCAAGCTTGTTTTCTGCTTCCCTGGAGACTAGGACGCAATGGAGCAATGTCTTCAAACTACAAGAAAGGAGATTCCATCTGAACATGAGGAAGAACTTCCTGACTGTGAGAGCCATTCAGCAGTGGAACTCTCTGCCCCGGAGTGTGGTGGAGGCTCTTCTTTGGAAGCTTTTAAACAGAGGCTGGATGGCCATCTGTCAGGGGTGATTTAAATGCAATATTCCTGCTTCTTGGCAGGGGGTTGGACTGGATGGCCCATGAGGTCTCTTCCAACTCTATGATTCTATGATCCTATGATCTGGAAGTGGTGCAAACCACTGCATAAGCAAATCTGATCAAACCTTATTACTGATTTGTTTTTGTTTCTTTTAATATGCAGTGGGAGATCAAGTCCTGGCATATATATAAAAAACCATGAACAACCATGTCCCTTGCTATTAAGTGGTGATGGCATGAATGTGGAGTCTAGCGCATGTTGGCCTTCATGTTGCCACGGTTTACTAATATGGGACAAGATAATTCATGGTCACAGGAAAACATGAATTAGATCCCACAGATCCAGATGGCCTACTGTATACTTTATGCTAAAGGAGCTATCCAAGGTCCTGAACTCTAGCTTACAGTAGGTTGGGTTGTTGTAGGTTTTTCTGGCTATATGGCCATGTTCTAGAAGCATTCTCTCCTGATGTTTCGCCTGCATCTATGGCAAGCATCCTCAGAGGTTGTGAGGTCTCTGAGGATGCTTGCCACAGATGCAGATGAAATGTCAGGAGAGAATGCTTCTAGAACATGGCCATATAGCCCAAAAAAACCTACGACAACACAGTGATTGCAACCATGAAAGTCTTCAACAGCACATTATAGTGGGTTCTTCGTCTTGGCTAGGTCTTCAGTCTACCTAACAAATATCAGCCTGTGCTCTGGCATGATAGCTCACATTGGAAAGCCATTCCCATCCAAGGTTGCTGTTGTCATTGCCGTTGCTGTGTTTATGGCTTCCAAGTCAACACTAAGTTAGAGTGACTCCCTTGTAAAGGTCTTCTTGGCACAGTTTACTCAGAGGAGGTTTGCCATTGCCTTCCTGTTGAGCTGAGAAAAAGTGTGACTTGCCCAAGGTCACCCACTGTATTTCCATGGGTGAATGGGATGTGAATCTACGCCAATTTCACTCCTGTCATGCATGTTCCATTTTGTCAGCACATGGAAATAATTTGCAGGTGTGTCAGAGGCATATACCCCAGCCACATGTGATTAACATTCTTTCCCAATACTGTTCAGAAATAGGTACATCTAAGCCCATTGATTTCAATAAGCACACCCTTTTTGGTTAACTAAGAAACCTAACAGACCTCAGAAAATTGAAGAAGCCTAACTTTGCATTGGGGATGGGGGAGGTTTCTATCGAACGCATCTCCCCTATGAACCACTGCGGAGATTAAGATCTTCTGGGGAGCCCCTGCTCTCGGTCCCACCACCATCACAGGCGTGTTTGGCGGGGACGAGAGACAGGGCCTTCTCAGTAATTGCCCCTCAGCTATGGAACTCCCTTCCTAATGAGATCAGGTCAGCCCCCTCCCTCTTGCCCTTTAGAAGGATGATAAAAACGTGGCTGTGGGACCGAGTCTTTGGGAGTGATAGGAACCCTTAGTATGCCAACCAAATTCGATATGGTTGTTGAGACAGTTTTAACTAGTGCATTTTAACGTTGAGATATGTGATTTTAATGCTTTTGTATGTGTATGGTATAATATGTTTTGGCATTGAATGTTTGCCGTTTATATGTTGTGCTCCGCCCTGAGTTCCCTTCGGGGTGAGAAGGGCGGAATATAAATGCTTTGAATAATAATTAATAATAATATTTGGCTCCATCTAATTGCTGTGATTATTTATTCTATGTATTTCATCAAAACATAAGAGTTGGAAGGGATGACCAAGTCCTATCAGTCCATCCCCATTTTGCCTTGCAAGATAATACAATCCATGCCCCCAATGCCATCCAGCTTCTGCTTAAAAGCCACCAGAGTAGGAGATTCAATCAAACTCCAAGGCAGCACTTTCCACTATTGAACAGCTCTGGCTGCCAGGAAGCTCTTCCTAATGTTTTGGTGAAATCTTCTTTCTTGCAATTTGAATGCATTGCACTGTGTCATCGTCTCAAAAGCAGCATATTTCTAACTGTGTTAAAGAGCTTGCTATCCTTAACTGGCTTGGTACTATTCCAGATTCTGGCATTAAAGACTTTGCCTTTCCTCCTTCCAGCTATTGACCTGCTCTACTGGCGCGACATCAAGCAGACGGGCATTGTGTTTGGAAGCGTCCTGCTGCTGCTTTTCTCCCTGACCCAGTTCAGCGTCGTCAGCGTGATCGCCTACCTGGCCCTCGCAGCACTCTCCGCCACCATCAGCTTCAGAATCTACAAGTCAGTCTTACAGGCTGTGCAGAAAACCGATGAAGGCCACCCGTTCAAGTGAGTGCCCTGCAAAGGCAACTGAGGGATAGTGTAATGTGCAAAAAAATAAAATGCACGTCCTGCCCAATCTGTCCACAAAAACAATAAAGTTGAGAGATATTGTTGTGATATGCTTTTCTCTACCTGTTCACTAATTTTGGACACCTTAGGAATGAATAAGACCTTCTTATAAGCTAGTCAACTTATAAGGAGAATCTAGACTTCGGGTATCTGTTGCCAGGACAGTTTTAAAGGCTCACATGTTGCCAAAAATTCCCAAAACAAATATGAAAGAAATGTAAAAGTGGTTAGAAAACTGGGTTGTGTTCCAGGCAGTCATAAATATGTGGTAATTTGAAAGTTGTTTTGGCTGTGAGACATTGTGGGAGAGTATCTGTGTCTCTGCAGCACAGAAGTAAGGTCAGGAAGCACAGTAGATGTGCTTTCCTGGTCTTTAGTTTTTCCAATCTCCGTGTATCTTGGAACAATTTCTCCCCGTAGAGATGTTCAGTGTGTTGTCAAAGGTTTTCACCCAGTGATTCCAACCATGAAAGCCTTCGACAACACAATTCGAAAACTATTTCCGAACGTATCTCCCTTTACGTTCCATCTCATAGTTTAAGATCCCCTGGGGAGGTCCTGATCTCAGTCCCAACAGCCTCGAACACGTCTGGTGGAGATGAGGGACAGGGCCTTTTCGGTGGTGACCCCCCACTTGTGGAATTCGCTCCCCAGCAAGATTAGATCGGTGTCCTCTCTCCTTACCTTTAGGAAAAAACTGAATTGTGGTTTTGGAACCAGGCGTTTGGCTAGCATACAGGGAGCATACCACCCCCCCTGTTATGTCAGCTCCACTGGCTGCCGATCCAATTCCGAGCACAATTCAATGTGCTGGTTTTGACCTACAAAACCCTATACGGTTCCGGCCCAGTGTATCTGTCCGAACAGATCTCCCTCTATGTCCCACCTCGGAGTCTAAGATCTTCTGGGGAGGCCCTGCTCTCGACCCCGCCTCTATCACAAGTGAGGCTGGCGGGGACGAGGAGCAGGGCCTTCTCGGTAGTGGCTCCTCACCTGTGGAACTCACTCCCCGGGGAGATTAGATCAGCGACTTCCCTTTTGTCATTCAGAAAAAAGTTGAAGACCGGGATGTGGGACCAGGCTTTTGGACATTCTGGCAGCTAAAGGAAAGACCTTGATGATGGGCAGGAATTAACGGAATGGAATGGATTTATGGAACTCTGAACACTGACCATGAGATTGTTTACTATTATGTTATGTACTGATGTTTTTAACCTGTTAACTGTTTAATTGCTTTTATGTATGTATGTATTTTTGACATAGGCATCGAATTGCGCCTTCCTTTGTAAGCCGCCCTGAGTCCCCCCTTGGGGGTGAGAAGGGCGGGGTATAAGTAACTGAAATAAATAAATAAATAATAGCAGGCACAACGGCACCTTGTACATTGAACTGGACCATATGATTGTAATGATAATGGAAACAGTTATACGACTGTTTTAATCTACTGTGTATTTATGGTTTTTATATTATTGTTATACTGTGATTACTGCATCAAATTGTTGCCAGTGTTAGCTAATCTGAGTCCCCCCCTCGGAGGTTGAGAAGGGTGGGATAGAAATGTTGTAAATAAATAAATAAAATATTTCTAATTTTGATTTGGCAAACTGGCATGAGACCCACATTGGCACCATTTGGGCCACCAAGGGAACATGTTCCACATTTGAGGTGCCAAAGCAATGAATTGACCCCCCACAGTGGGATACAGAGGAAGACGCTTCAGCCGGCCTAAATTCTTAGGCAGGTCTATGTAGGAAGAGACACTCCCTCAAGTGTCAGGGTCCCAAACTATTCCTTGTTTTGATAGTTTGCTGCAATACTGCTTGTTCACTTTTTTGATAGCTGTATATTTTCCTGGCAATTCATGGAAATGTATGAATGTCGATTAACAAGGCTCAAGGAATCAGTTCGATGATCTGTGTCTGGTAACCTGCACATTTCTGCCTGTAACCCAAAAGAGATACAGAGAAAAGATCTGAGGAATACTTTTTTAACTTGAGTTGTGCTTTTCCAACAGAAGCTACTTGGATATGGAAATGTCTCTCTCCCAGGAACAGATTCAGAAATACACAGATTGCCTCCAGTCGTACATGAACTGCACAGTCAAGGAGCTCAGGCGACTCTTCCTGGTCCAGGATTTGGTGGATTCCTTAAAAGTAGGTGGCTAGCAATCGACAGGATGAGTTGGAGAAAGCATGGACAGCCTCAAAACAAAAGAACTATTCCCTGAGCTTTGGCTTGGAAGTTTATGTGAGATTTATAAGTTATGAGTGTCAGGCAGAGAGCATATAGAATATATCCCACCTTTTCTCATACTGCTAAAATCAGGGGTCATGCAACACAAATGGTCAGTTTGGTTCAGACGAAAAGATGTGTTGGAATCCTGTTGGGACTTTAGGTCTTCACAAGTGGACTTGCCGTATATACAGGGGCGGCTCAACCCATTACGCAAAGTAAGCATTTGCAGTACAGTTGATTTTGACAAGGGGCGCTCTTGAGGCGCTCTTGGGGGAAAATAGACCTTGACATATGCAAGTTGTAGTTACTGGGATGTATAGTTCTCCTACAATCAAAGAGCATTCTGAACTCCACCAATGATGGAATTGAACCAAATATGGCACACAGAACTCCCACGACGAACAGAAAATATATATCAGTGATTGGTTTGACGCCAAAAAACTGTTTGTTTACCATTGAAAATTACCTAGGGCCGCCTCTGCGTATATACCCATGTATAGATCAAGGGCAAAATTAAGAGTTAAGGTACAGTACTCACATTGACCCATGGATAAGTTGAGCAGGACTTTTAGGAATTACTTTATGATGAAACATTCTTAACTTATACATGAGGATATAGGGCATGTCTATTAGTATTGGAACTGAGAAATTCTGTAAAATAGATATCCAGCTGGGTTGTTGTAGGTTTTTTGGGTTGTATGGCCATATTCTAGAAGCATTCCCTCCTGATGTTTCGCCTGCATCTATGGCAGGCATCCTCAAAGGTTGTGAGGTCTGTTGGAAATTGGAAAATTGGGTTTATATATCCGTGGAAAGTCCAGGGTGGGGGAAAGAACTCTTGTCTGTTGGAGGGAGGTGTGAAGGTTTCAGTTGGCCACCTTGATTAGCATTTGATGGCCTGACAGTTTTTAGGTGTGGCTTGTTACTGCCTGGGAAATTTCCTTGTTAAGAGGTGACCAGGTGTTCCTGATTGTTTCTTGTCTGGAGTTCCCCTGTGTTTGAGTTTTGTTTTTTATTTACTGTTATAATTTTAGAGGTTTTTTTTGTACTGGTAGCCAGATTCTGTTCATTTTTGTGGTTTCCTCCTTTCTGTTGAAATTGTCCACATGCTTGTGGATTTCAATGGCTTCTCTGTGTAGTCTGACATGGTGGTTGTTAGAATGGTCCAGCATGTCTGTGTTCTCAAATAATATGTTGTGTCCAGGTTGGTTTATCAGGTGTTCTGCTATGGCTGACTTCTCTGGTTGAAGTAGTCTGGGGTGCCTTTCATGTTCCTTGATTCGTGTCTGGGCAATGCTGCGTTTGGTGGTCCCTATGTAGACTTGTCCACAGCTGCATGGTATAGGGTAGACTTCTGCAGAGGTGAGAGGATCCCTCTTGTCCTTTGCTGAACGTAGCTTTGGTTGGATTTTCTTAGTGGTCTGTAGATAGTTTGTATGTTGTGCTTCCTCATCAGCTTCCTATGCGGTCAGTGGTTCCCTTGATGTATGGCAAGAACACTTTTCCTTTGGATGGAATATTTGTCTTTACTCTTGTGGCTTGTTCTCAGTCTTGCAGCTCTTCTGATGTCTGAGGTGGAGTCTCCATTGGCCTGTAAACATGGCCAATTGAAACATTCACACTTACCTCCAACAGACAAGAGTCTCCCACCCTGGACCTTCCACAGATATATAAACCCAGTTTTCCAGTTTCCAACAAACCTCATAACCTCTGAGGATGCTTGCCACAGATGCAGGTGAAACGTCAGGAGAGAGTGCTTCTAGAACATGGCCATACAACCCAAAAAACCCACAACAACCCAGTCATTCCAGCCATGAAAGCCTTCAACAACACATTGGATATCCAGCTGCTTGACTACATATTTTTGCTAGAAAAATCAACAATGCACCCCAGAATCATTGTACATGAAGACACCAGCTAGGGAGTGCTGATCCGCATTGGTAGAGCCCAATGCACATCAAGATTACTCATCTTGGAAATTCACTAACATGGTTTCTTAGGTTTTGCTGTTACCTAGATAGATATATGTAAGGTTACTTCAAGTGGACCAGGGCTTCTTAAACGTTTCCCACTCGTGACCTCTTTCCACTCAGAAAATCAGTTAAAGACTCATTTTTAGTATTGATTCTTCTTTTTGTTTATGTTTTGGTGTTGCCTCTGGTTTTCATTCACCAGCTATTTTTTAATCTCCATGCCCTACTTGCAAATTGGCCAGAGTCAGCTTCTCTAATCAGGTCATTCAGATACTAAGAGGAATTTGGGATCTGGGGAAAATGCACATCCATATATCTGTAAATGCAAATATGCTGGCACCCTCCCTTCCTCTTGTATTCTCCCATAGGGCTCGACCAGCTCTGTTTGAAGCTGGGGATTGGCAAAAGCCGAAACCAGCATCCACACATATTTATTTGGAGGATGTGTCGATGTGATCTAATTATTTATTGACTTCTTTTGCTTAAAGCCAGCATAGAATTAAAATTATCCACAGGAGGTGGCCTTGGTCAATTGGTTAATTGAAGCAAAGATATAATAGGGAGGGCTGTGTACATTGTGTGCTTTCAATAAATCAATTTTGCATTGAGAGGAAATGCAGCTCTGTGCCAAGAACAACTCAGATCTGCATGTGTAAATGAAACAAGCGAACACATATTTGATTATTTTTGCATAATTCAGTCTGGTTCTGCTGCATATGGAATGAAAGCCATACAAGACCCTGACATACCTTCTAAACATATCACAGAGGCAAACTAAAATGCCAGTTATTAAAGAGGGAAAACCAACAAGCTGGAGAGGCTTCAGCAGTTTCCTTTTGCCTGAGACTACAGGGATGGGCTTTTGGACAACAAGTTAAACATGAGCCAACAATGTCATGTGGTAGCTAAAAAGCCAATGGGATTTTGGCCTGCATAAATATGGGTCTCGTGCCAAGATCCAGGGAAGTCATGCTACCCATGCTCTACTTTGCCTTGGTTGGACCACCACACCTGGAATCACACTGTGTCCAATTCTGGGCACCACAATTGAAGGGGGATATTGACAAGCTAGAATATGTCAAGAGGAGGGCGACTAAAATGATCAAGGATCTGAAGAACAGATCCTTGTTTTAGCATGGTGAGATGTGTTCCACACTAGGCAGGCATACTCAGCAGCAGAGTAGCAAAGCGCGAGGGCAGATGACACAAATGACCAGCCACTGCCAGAAGGGACAGAGAATTTCATCTATGCTGACGATCATGCCATCAGCGCTAAAGCAGGGAGCTTTGAGATGGTTGAACAGAAGTTCTCCGAAGTTTTAGGTGCTCTTACAGCCTACTACAGGGAAAACCAGCTGATTCCTAATCCATCTTAAGAACAGACAAACCTATCAAGATCTGAGGATTATCTGGGAAGGAATCCCACTGGAGCATTGCAACACACCCAAATATCTGGGAGTTGTCTTGGAAAAAAGCAAAAAGTGGGTGCTAGAAACAATATCATACAAAAACTGACTGGCACAACCTGGGGATTACAACCAGATACAGTGAAGCCATGGGAGTTAAAGTGGTGTCAAACTGCATTGATCCTACACTATGGATTCACCCTTAGACAATTGTGGTTGAAGAATTACAGAATGCATTGAATTCATAGGTCACTGAAAAGATGTCAGCATTATACAATATGGTGTTGTAGATATTTAATCAACTGAATGAAATGACTGGGATAATAATTAGCAAACTGGAATTGTAAAGCTAAGTTTTCTGAGGGCAGTTTATTGCTCTGTTGACAATCTAATGTGTAATGATTGTATTTCCAATTTAGTTTGCAGTACTAATGTGGCTGTTGACCTACGTTGGAGCTCTCTTCAATGGCCTAACTCTTCTGATAATGGGTAAAGTCAATTGTTTTTACAGAACTCTTAGCTGAATGTTTGTGGCAATATTTATTGATCAGCTCCACTAAAATACATTCCTAAAAGCATCATCCCTGCTCCTTTGCTGATCAGTTATTTTGCAACTTTCATTTAATACTCCTCCTGATGCAGGTTGAGACTCCCTTATCCAGAAATCCAAAACCGGAAACTCTCAGAGATAGGCCAAACTCCAAAGGAATAAGAAAGAACTCTAAGACCTGCACATGAAAATCTTTCCACTCAAAGCAAACAGTGGGCAAAACAGATAAATGTATCTATCTGTTAGCCCCAGCTTCTGCCAACCTAGCAGTTCAAAAACATGTAAATATGAGTAGATCAATAGGTACCGCCTTGGTGGGAAGGTGACGGTGCTCCATGCGTCATGCGGAGCACATGACCTGGGGAGGTATCTACAGACAACACCAGCTCTTCAGCTTAGAAATTGAGATGAGCACCCCCCGCCCAGAGTCGTACATGACTGGACTGTTAGGGAAAACCTTTACCTTTAGATAAATAGATCATATTTCAATAAAGCAACTTAATTACTTCTTTCCTAGGCAAATTCCCTTTCATGATACCGCACTATTATATCATGACTAGCTTTACCTGCCACACGTTGCTGTCGCCAACCTTCCCTCCTTCTTTCCTCCTTCCTTCATTCCTTCCCTTTTTTCTTTAATTCTCTCCTTCCTTCCTTCCTTCCTTCCTTCCTTCCTTCCTTCTTTCCTTCCTTCCTCCCTCCCTCCCTTCCTTCCTTCCTTCCTTCTCTTCCCTATCTTCCTTCATTTTTTCTTTCCTTCTCTCCTTCCTTCCTTCTTTTCGCTTCCTTTTTTCTTTCCTTCTCCCCTTCCTTCCTTCTCTTCCTTCTCTTCCCTACCTTCCTTCCCTTTTTTCTTTCCTTCTCTCCTTCCTTCCTTCCTTCCTTCCTTCCTTCCTTCCTTCCTTCCTTCCTTCCTTCCTTCCTTCCTCTTCTTTCTCTTCCCTTCTTTCCTTGTTTTTTTTTCTTTCCTTCTCTCCTTCCTTCCTTCTCTTTCTCTTCCCTTCTTTCCTGGAGTGATCTATTAAGGAAAGAAACACAGTTTGAAACAAAATAAGTTTAAAACCTGTCTAGTTGAAGGTACAGTCCTCTCAGGAGTTGTTTTATGAAATGTTATAAATGTAACCTCTAAAGAAACGTGCCTCTAGGAGTTAAGAAACATTGAAACCATCAAGCATCTCCTATACTTTAATAAACTTGTTACAGTTTCTCTTAAAGCCAAGTCTCTGTTTCGAATACTTCCGAGTCAAGCCGCGCTACACATTGAAGAAAGACCAACAAAATATTACAAGCTATTAGCTGTGTTATCAATTTAGTAAATGCATTACAAATAGTAGGAGACCCTGATAAATCAGTGACCTCCCTACTACTGCTCCTGGTGGCCATCCTTTTACACCTTGTTACCTGAATTTTACATCTGTGGATTTTGTGGTTTTACCTTGAAGTTCATGGACTATTTCATTTCTCTGGATTATCCTGTTTTTACCATTTTTATTGCTTTGGTTTTATATATCCTTCAATAAACTGCTTGCTGATTATTGAACCGGTGTGGTGATTAAGTACAGAGGTGTTCCTGCTCTGGGATTCAACATCTATCCCACTTCATTCAGTTTATCTGCTCTAAATTGGCAAATATTGTTCTTATTTTTATATTTATTCGTTATCTTGTATACTTCCCAGTTGAGAATACATAGCACAAATATATGATTGTCGAACACTGAAATGTAACACTTCCTTTTCTCTTTCTCTCTCTCTCTAGCTGTGGTCTCAATGTTTTCCCTACCTGTTGTATATGACAAGTACCAGGTATGTAAGAAAGTGCAACTTGTGACTGTCCTATCATTCTTGTGTATTCATTTGAGAGGGAGGTGGAATCACCATTTCCAAAGAGGAAACTCTTAATCTCTTCCAACAGAAACAAAAGGGCTATGTTATCATTTTAAAGAAGAGGTGGTCAAACTGTAATAACTTAAAATATGCATGGTGTAATTTTATTGATCCTTCACAAGGGTATGCTTTGAGAAATTCTACTACTTGTAGACTAATTAATCCATATGGAACTGGAGGAAATAGACCAAATTCCTTGGTAACTTGTAATTCAATACTTCCATTTTGGAGCCTCCCTTTGATACCTTTTCGTTCATGAATGGCCACTCTGAAGTCTGTACCAGAGTGACCTGTAAGGTTTAGACCTCCTCCCATGATTTCTGAATATTGCCCTCTCTCATGTCAGAATTTGTGTTCGTTTATTCTTTTGCGTAGAGACTGTCCGGTTTGTCCTATGTAGAGCGCAGAAGGGCATTGCTTGCAGATGATAGCATTTATCACATTGGAGGATGAGCAGGTGAATGAGCCCTTGATGTTGTGGCTGGCCTTCTTAGGCTCAAGCCACGTAATGAAGCTGCATTAAATGACTCAACAAATCAATAAATACCTGAATGAATCGTAAGCTAATTCGATTCTGTATACTGAATATGATGTTAAGCGTTGGAAAGAGCTGGTATGACCTAGAGCAGGCTTGGGGAATATGTGGACTGCTGCATATTCTGGCCTACAACACTCACAATCTCTTGTTATTGAATATGTTGATCAGGAGTTAATGAGAACTGTAGGCCAGAAACTCTGGGTGGCTGAAGGTTCTTCATTTATTTATTTATTTATTTACAGTATTTATATTCCGCCCTTCTCACCCCGGAGGGGACTCAGGGCGGATTACAATGTACATACACACGGCAAACATTCAATACCATAGACACACAACATATATAGACAGACACAAAGGCAATTTAACATTCCAACTTTTCATGAGAGTATTCTGGCCACCAGGGGAGCTGTTGCTTCACCGTCCATTTGAGACACTGATGAAGTACTTCCTCATTCTTTGCAGGCTTGCTGGAGATTTTTGTGGCATCGTAAATTAGTTAAATTAGCCTCCCTGCGTAGGTGGTACCTAAATTTCCTACTTGACAGATGCAACTGTCTTTCAGGCTGCAAAGGTCAACAGCAAGCTATACAAATTGATCGGATACTCACTCCAACCCAGGCTGGCTTCGAACTCATGACCTTTCGGTCAGTAGGGATCTTAATGCAGCTGACTCCTAGCCAGCTGTGCCACAGTCCCGGTGCATCCTTCTTCTAACCAATGGAATTCTTGGGTTAAGTGTTGGCTTGAGAGTGAGAAACAATTGATCCCTTGGGTTAAGTGTTGGACTGGGGTCTAGGAACCAATTGGCCCCATGGGTAGTGTTGAACTGTGGTTAAGGAACCAACGGATCCCTTGGGTATGTGTTGAACTGAGGTAAATGAACCAATTGATCCATTGGGTTAAGTGTTGGACTGAGGTTAAGGAATCAACTGATTCCTTGGATTAAGTGTTGGATTGGAATTAAGGAACTAACCGATCCCTTGGGTTAATATTGGACTGAGGTTAAGGAATGAGCTGATCCCATGGATTAAGTGCTAGACCGAGGTTAAGTAACCAACTGATTTCTGGGCTTATGTGTTGAACTGGGATTAAGGAACCAAGTGATTCTTGAAGTTAGGTGTTAGACTGGGGTTAGGGAATCAGGTGATCCTTTGGATTAAGTGTTGGACTAGAGTTAAGGACCCAACAGATTCCTTGGGTTAGGTGTTGAGCTGAGATTAAAGAATCAGATGATCCCTTGGGTTAAGTGTTAGACTGGGGTTAAGTAACCAACTGATTCCTGGGGTTAAGTTTTGAATTAGGCTTAAGGAATTAACTGATTCTTGGGGTTAAGTGTTGGACTGAGATTAAGGAATCAGGTGGTCCCTTGGTTGAACTGTTGGACTGTTGGGGTTAATTGTTGGACTGAGATTAAGGAATCAGGTGATCTCTTGGGTTAAGTGTTGGACTGAGGTTAAGGAACCAACTGATCCCATGGGTTAAGTGTTGTACTGGGATTAAGGAATTAGTTGATTCCTTGTCACACTGGAGCTAAGGAACTAGCCAATTCCTTGGGTTATGTGTTGGATTTTGGAGATCCTTGGGTTCCAATGTGAAGTCAAACTGACTTTGAGGTGGTTGAGTTTATGGGAGTTGTAGTCCAACACATCTGTTACATTAGGAAAGGCTGTTGGGACCAGAAGAAATTTTAACTGTCTTAGGGAATATATCACGAGCTCTATTAGCTTTGTAGTTGAGACACAACCTCTCTGTAATATTTATGTATTTTCTTACCATGTCAATTCATGCCTCACTGTCTTTTTTTCCCCAGGCACAGATTGATCAGTACTTGGGACTTGTGCGGACTCACATAAATACTGTGGTGGCAAAGTAAGTGCACATTTTTTTTCTGTAGGTAAGGAATTTTTTTTATCATGTCAGAAGTGAGTTGGGAACGTACTGCAAGTCGCTTGTGGTGTAAGAGATTGAGTCATCTACAGAGATGTTGCCCAAATATTTTACCATTCTGTAGACAGTATTGCACCACCTGGAGTTGACAGATAGGAGCTCACCCCATCTCGCAGATTCAAACCACTGACCTTCATAGAATCATAGAATCAAAGAGTTGGAAGAGACCTCATGGGCTATCCAGTCCAACCCCATTCTGCCAAGAAGCAGGAATATTGCATTCAAATCACCCCTGACAGATGGCCGTCCAGCCTCTGTTTAAAAGCTTCCAAAGAAGGAGCCTCCACCACACTCTGGGGCAGAGAGTTCCACTGCTGAACGGCTCTCACATTCAGGAAGTTCTTCCTCATGTTCAGATGGAATCCCCTCTCTTGTAGTTTGAAGCCATTGTTTCACATCCTAGTCTCTAGGGAAGCAGAAAACAAGCCTGCTCCCTCCTCCCTGTGGCTTCCTCTCACATATTTATACATGGCTATCATATCTCCTCTCAGCCTTCTCTTCTTCAGGCTAAACATGGTCAGGTCAACAGTTCAGCCAGTACAAAGACTTAACCCATTGCGCCACCACTTAGTAAGGATACAATGGGAAGAAGACAGAGATAGACTGGGACATGTAGGTGGTCAACAAGGAAGGATTTCTGAAGTCCAGATTTTTTTAAACCATGATAATAGATGTCCCATCCCACAACCAAACTGATAAAACTAAGCAAGTGTTTCATGGCTGATGGAATTTTATGTGGAACAAGAGTGAGAGTATATTTACCTCTGGTATACATAAATAGATAGATTTATCTGGTCTTGGAATTATCTCACACTTAGGGTTCCCCACATAAGAATGTAGGATATTGCAGTTGTTGATTTTTTGTTTTTAAAGAAATATTGTACAGACACTTCAATTGTCCTGTTCTATTTTCTCACAATTCCTGAGACTAGTTGCAACATTTTATTTCCACCTTTAAGTCAGGACACTATTTTTTTCTGAGGCACAACATAACCAAAAGGTATCCTTTGCCCCTTCCTCTGCATTGGGTCTCCTACAGGAGTATTATTATTGTTGTTGTTATATTGTCGAAGGCTTTCATGGCCGGAATCACTGGGTTGTTTTTGGTTTTTTTGGGCTATATGTCCATGTTCTAGAGGCATTCTCTCCTGACGTTTCACCTGCATCTATGGCAAGCATCCTCAGAGGTAGTGAGGATGCTTGCCATAGATGCAGGTGAAACGTCAGGAGAGAATGCCTCTAGAACATGGCCATATAGCCCGAAAAAAGCTACCACAACCCTGTTGTTATTATTATTATTATTATTATTATTATTATTATTATTATTATTCTGACCTAAAAACACAGTAGGACACAGCAAATGATATATATGCTGGATTTCGTATCATAAAATCACAAGTCGAACACTTCCCAAGTGTTTAGGACTGTGTGATGTATTTTCGAATGATGCGCTCAAATCCAAGTAAGGTGGTCTTTTGCAGTTGACAGATCATGAATTTGTCAATGTTTATTAGAATCATAGAATCATAGAGTTGGAAGAGGCCCCCTGCCAAGAAGCAGGAATATTGCATTCAAATCACCCCTGACAGATTTATTTATTTATTATTATTTATTAATACGCTTGTATACCGCTAATATCTCAGCCTAAAACGGCGACTCATTGCGGTTTACAACACTTAAAACAACAATATTCAATTTAAAAACATAAAATACATATACAGTACACAGTATCGGGCCACTAATACAGACCGATGCATCTCTTAGTTAAAATCATAATCCAATTTCGTCGTCTATAATTACCAGTCCTTGATCATCAACTTCATCGCACCGGATTAACTGAATGCTTGTTCAAACATCCATGTCTTCAGTTTTTTTTTGAAATACCATCAGATGGCCATCCAGCCTGTTTAAAAGCTTCCAAAGAAGGAGCCTCCACCACACTCCGGGGCAGAGAGTTCCACTGCTGAACGGCTCTCACAGTCAGGAAGTTCTTCCTCATGTTCAGATGGAATCTCCTCTCTTGTAGTTTGAAGCCATTGTTCCGCATCCTAGTCTCCAAGGAAGCAGAAAACAAGCTTGCTCCCTCCTCCTTGTGGCTTCCTCTCACATATTTATACATGGCTATCATATCTCCTCTCAGCCTTCTCTTCTTCAGGCCAAACATGCCCAGATCCTTAAGCCGCTCCTCATAGGGCTTGTTCTCCAGACCCTTGATCATTTTAGTCGCCTCCTCTGGACACATTCCAGCTTGTCAATATCTCTCTTGAATTGTGGTGCCCAGAATTGGACACAATATTCCAGGTGTGGTCTAACCAAAACAGAATAGAGGGGTAGCATGACTTCCCTAGATCTAGACACTATGCTCATCTTGATGCAGGCCAAAATCCCATTGGCTTTTTTTGCCGCCACATCACATTGTTGGCTCATGTTTAACTTGTTGTCCACGAGGACTCCAAGATCTTTTTCACACGTACTGCTCTTGAGCCAGGCATCGTCCCCCATTGTTTTCAATTGCCACCTAAGATATTTTGGCATGGCACCCAGTGTGCCAATTACCACTGGGACCACCTGTGCCCGATGGGTGCCAGCTTGTCGTGGTGGGGGTCTTAACTGCTCCAAAGATGCTGAGAGCTGTGCTGGTGGTAGTGTAACTACCAGCAGGTTCAACGAAGTCAGAGAGGTCTCAGCTGAGGAGTGGAACTAAGAGCACCTAGCCCATTAGCAGTATGGAGAAACAAATCAAAACAAAGACTATCTTGGCTCGGTCATTGCCCAGGATAAACAGGACCGTGGTGGATGCTGCTGATTCTGGACATCCATCGACAAGTGGGCTATAGAATCAAAATACAAATAAACAGTCACAGAAGCAGCAGAAATATACAGTGCCAGAGAACTGCACAGTTATGAAATGCTATTACAAAAGCGTGGCTACCAAAAAAGGATGTATCTGTTGTTGTTGTTGCTGCTGCTGTTGTTGTACCAGTTAAATGGCATTTTCCCCCAGTGTAACTATGTTTTTCAAAAAGAAATCAGAAAGAAGAATATTGTCCCTGAAACCAAACCACAACTGCAGCCAACTACACCCTAGTTTTAAAAAGGCCTTTGGGAGAGTCTGGTTCAGATTCAAGAAATCATTCCTAAGTATGGATTATCACAGAGGAGACAACCAGCAAAACCAAAGAGCTATGCTTTTTTTCATTGATCTGGAAAAGTGCTTTATTATATCTTATATACCTAAGGTACCAGTTGGTGGATCTCAGGTTTGTAATGAAAAGAACAAATGCTGCAAACTGGAAGCCTCCATGTCAGACCTTAATTTGGAAAATACCAGCAGCTATTAACCAGGGAAGTTTTATAGCAGAATGATGCAAATGTGGCCTGCAGTATTACCAGAACTGCTCATGAAGTTTATTGATTTTAGATCAAAGAATTGGAAGAATCTAAACAGTAATCGTACCTAACTCTTCCATGTGACAGAGCCCCAAGCCTCTCCACCAAACTTGGAACACAGTCTTGGGCAGGATCTACACTGCCCTATATCCCAGGACCCGATCCCAGATTATTCTGCTTTGAACTGGTTTATATGGGTCTACATTGCCAGATAATCTGGGATAATCATTTATTTATTTATTTATTTGGTAGTTTTGTATACCGGTCTTCTCACCTCCATTCGAGGGACTTGGGCCGGTTTCCAACATCAATATTACAGACCGTCATTAAAACATCATATTTCTAAATCACACTAAAACATTAAAACATTGAAACAATTAAAATGGCAAAAATACAATCATATGATTACAGTGGTCAGTCGTCATCAAAGTCCTTATTCGTCGCCATCCATCCATATCACAGGATCATGGCTCATTCGCTGAATGCCAATACCCAAAGCCAGGTTTTCACCTGTTTCCTGAACGTTAAGATCGAAGGGGCAGTTCTGATCTCCAGTGGAAGGGAGTTCCAGAGTCGAGGAACTCGATAATCTGGGATCAGATAATCTGGGATCAGATCCTGGGATATAGGGTAGTGTAGTTCCAGCCTCGAACTTCTGTCTTCCAGGTACCTGCTTTGGGCCTTTGGCTAAAGGATTTTGGGAGCTGGAGTCCAAATGATAATGTTTCCAAGTTTTCCATCAGCATTTCCAGCTTTGAAGAGATCCTTCATATTTCTAGACAGAATCGAACTCCTTTCCACATCAAAGAGTAGCAAGAACCTCAGTTCTTGGAACAATAGCACAATTGCTGAACATGCTACTTAAGCTTTTTCGTGGCCTGCTTCAGAGTGCTCCCAAGTTTTCAAGTCTGCTCAGCTCTTCATGTTGCTTCTCGGTGGGAGGATTTAACAATCCAAAAGCATTCTTTTCCTATTGTGCTGGTACGGCTGTACCAGGAGCTCCAACTTTATTTTCTTTCTGTTATCTGTTTGCAGTCATAGGGCAGGGCTCCTGTCCATTATAATTAAGCTGTGGTTCTGCCCCTTGTTCAGAGCTCTGGGAGGGAAAGGATCCATTTTTTGGGCAGTCTCACATAAGGAAGCTAAACTATAGGACATAGACCAGCTCGTCCCGTAGAAAAGCTTCTTTTCTCAAGAGCTTCCAGGGAAAAGGATCTTCCAGGGAAAAGGAACATCTGGGGAAAGAGAAACAGAAATTCCAGGGAAAAAGTCCCAAGGCTCTGGCTGAGAGCTCACAGCCTCTCAGCCTCTCAGCAATCAGAGGGAAAACAGCTCTGAAGTTTTCAAAGAATTCTCTGAGGGAATTCTACAGCACTACAGATCCATGGAACTCCATCTGAAATATCTACAAGCCTCGGCTGGTAGGTCTACTCAATACCCAGACACATTTGGAATCGGTAGTAGGACCCACACTGATGAGGCATAGATAGTAAGCAGCCTGGGAGAGGTTAAAAAGGGTTTTTCCTACAGAGAAAGTTCAGTTAATCAAAGTCAGGTGCTAGCCCATTGAGGACTAGACTAAGAAAGCCTTGAAGTGTTGTTTGAACAGTTGAAGACTTTGTTGTATCATTAATTGAAGACTTTGTTGTATCATTAAAGACTCTAAAGACCATCACTTCAGAAAAATCCCTGAGAATCTCTCTTTGAGGTGCCCTGGCTTCCCGTTGGGCTTAAAGTATACGTCCTATAGAAAAGACAGCTGTTACAGGCCCAACACGCGACAGAACACCTATGTTAAGTGTCTCTGTATTTTTTAGAGAAAATATCTGTGTCAAAGGGATAACCTTTTACTGCAGAACATTAATTATACTGCATGGGAGCTGGCTTGTCTAATTCTTCCTTCCTCTCTCCTCTTTTCTTCATATCCAGGATCCAAGCAAAAATCCCAGGCGCTAAGCGGAAGGCTGAGTAAAAAAGCAGCAAGAATCCATCAACTACAAGAGTGAATGATGAGGGAGTCTGGGATGAAAACAGCTCTGTTCTTACTTTCGACTGATTATAATTTATTGTTCCTTTACCTCTCTATCTCTGTCTCTCTCTGTGGGTGAAGGCAGGTGTTGAAAAGGAAGGGCGCTCACCCCGTGCCCCTTAGCCACAGGGTGAGCTGGGTTTCAGACTGGCTCCACAATTGAAATGACTTGTGCGGATGCCAGGACATCAAACACTATCCGGGACGCCTGTCTTGCACCTTCTTCCTCATGTGAAGTAGTTCAGGTTGGCTGTGTGACATCCTTAAAAAGAGAAAGAGAGCGAGAGGAACATATGGATTGTCATATTTTTCTGTTCATTTATCACTAGCGTCTTTTTGGAAAAATAACTATTTCAAAGTGCAAAGTGACTCCAGGGGTAGGGGAGGCGAAAAATTGGGTGAATTCATAGAAAGTGGCCAACGTTGCCAGGTTCCCTTTCAGTTTGGCAAATCTGCTTTCTCCCCTGGAGAGGAATGGTGCGTTTACACTCAGCACAAGGAAAATGTTCCACGTTTGTCCCCACTGCTCTCAACATGTGTTGCATCTGTCTTCACCCCTCTCTCTTTCAAACACTAGGATCTCAGAGATGTGAAACGATGAAGCAGCTGTTCTTTTATTTCCCCCTCCCTCTCTTTCTCCTGCTGTTTCTGTACTCTCTCTTAGACTATTTGCAATCACGTGTGTCGAGCACTAAAGTATAGTAAAGAGAAAAGTGTTCTAGGTGTGGTTCTTGTGTTGCTTCTCAAGTGCATGATGGTAAGAGCCTAAACTACTATTGAACTTTCTTTTTTTTTAATTTTCTAGTGCTTCTACTATTACTACTACTACTATTACTTCTATTGGCATCGCTTCGATAACTTTTAATGTTACATGTGGCTAGGGCTTTCCTGCTTAGTGCACCGATGCAGTTTTGGCTTCTATGTCCACTGGGTTTGCTGGTTGGGATTATCTTTACTAACTGTCTAGAATCGTAGACTGAGGTCTTTTCGGTGTTGTTTCTGTTTCTTTTCAGCACAAGTGACAAAAATACACGAAATAACGAGCAATTGGTACTTAAATGGTTACACTCCATTTTGTAGAACTCTTTCAAAGGAAATTCAACTACATAGAACCAACCCACCCAGTACTTTTTCTTTGGTTGTTCTCGAGGGATCCATGGGCTGATTTACATGTATGGGAACTGAAGACTTCCGGCTTGTAACATGTATCACAAATTTGTATGACATTCTCTGTAGGACTTAATTATGGACTCTAAATATTTGCACTTATGTACTTGATACCGAATGCAGAAATAAATGTTACTAAATGTTAAAAAAAGAAGCTCTTCTTGACAATTTTATTTATTTATTTAAAAGTTTTGTATACCGGCCTTCTCACCTCTCTTGAGGGACTCAGACCGGTTTCCAACCATAATATCACATACAATCAATAAAACATCATAATACATATTACAGTAAAACATTAAAACAGCCATTACAATCAATAACTATAATGGTCAGTCGTCACACTAAAATCGTTGCTCATCATCCTCCATTCATATCTCAGGGTGTTGGCTCACTCGTCGAATGCTTGTCTCCATAACCAAGTCTTCACCTGTTTCTTAAATGTCAGGATAGATGGGGCGGTTCTGATCTCCAGTGGGAGAGAGTTCCAGAGTTGAGGGGCCACCACTGAGAAGGCCCTGTCCCTCGTCCCCACCAGACGCGCTTGCGAGGCCGGTGGGACCGAGAGCAGGGCCTCTCCAGACGATCTTAATAATCTTGATGGTTCATAGGGGAGAATACGTTCGGAGAGGTAAACAGGGCCGGAGTCGTTTAGGGCTTTATAGGTTAACACCAGCACTTTGAATTGTGCTCGGAAGCTAATTAGCAGCCAGTGGAGCTGGTGTAACAGCGGAGTGGTGTGCTCCCTGTACCCAGCACCCGTTAGTAGTCTGGCTGCCGAGCATTGGACTAGCTGCAGCTTCCAGGCAGTCTTCAGAGGCAACCCCACGTAGAGAATGTTGCAGTAGTCTAAACGGGATGTAACCAAAGCGTGGATCACCGTGGCCAAGTCAGACTTCCCAAGGTACGGGCGCAGCTGGCGCACAAGTTTTAATTGTGCAAAAGCTTCCCTGACCACCGCCGAAACCTGGGGCTCCAGGCTCAGCGATGAATCTAGGAGAACTCCCAAACTGCGAACCTGTGCCTTCAGGGGGAGTGTGACCCCGTCCAGCACAGGCTGTAACCTGCTTGTCACCTCTATTTCACTCCACAACACATTATTTCTTGCTACAGTGCATGTTTGTTGTTGCTTATTCATTCCGTCGCTTCCGACTCTTCATGACCTCATGGAGCAGCCATAGCCAAAGCTCCCTGTCAGCCGTGGCCACCGCCAGCTCCTTCAAAGTCAATCCAGACACTTCAAGGATATTTATTTATTTATTGTATTTATATACCAGCCGTCTCAGCCCTCAGGCAACTCAGGGCGGTTTACAATAGCAACAATTTGATGATGAACTTTATTTATACCCTGCTACCATCTCCCCAGGGGACTCGGTGCGGCTTACATGAGGCCGAGCCCAAAATACAACAATACGAGCAATAACAACAACAATACAAGCAATTTAAAAACAATAAAACAATAACATAAGCATTATCAATAGGACAACACACTTTAAAATCTTTGGTTAGGCCAAATGTAATTAAAATTAAAAAAATAATGCTGGATATGGGCGAAAAAGTGATGGGGCGGTTTGTGGAAACATACAAGCAGACCTAGAAACAATATAAAGTGCTTTGAAGGACAAAGTCCTATGGGATCATTATTCTGGGAAGGCACACTGGAACAACCAGGTCTTCAAGCTCCTCTTAAAGACTGCCAAAGTTGGGGCATGCCTGATGTCCTTAGGAAGTGAGTTCCAGAGTCAAGGGGCCACCACCGAAAAGGCCCTCTCTCTCGTCCCCACCAATTGCGTTTGTGATGCAGGCGGGAGCGTGAGCAGGGCCTCTCCAGATGATTGAAGAGATCGTGTGGGTTCGTATACAAAAACACCACAAAACATTTAAAAACATTAACATATAATATAAAACCATAACAAGAATATTAAAAGCATACATCATTTGTGTCTCCTAATAAAAACACTGTCCCATCTCATCGTCCAGTCGTTCCAATTCCTATGTCTTTTACCTTGCATTTTCAAACGCTTGATCAAACAACCAAGTATTGACTCTTTTTTGAAATGTTGAGCGGGAGGGGGCCGATCTAATGTCCCCAGGAAGGGCATTCCATAGCCGAGGGGCCACCACTGAGAAGGCCCTGTCTCATTCCCACCAAATGTGATGCAGGCGGGATTGAGAGCAGGCCCTCCTGGGACGATCTTAAAGTCCTAGCAGGTTCATACGATAAGATGCATTCAGACAGGTAAGTCTGTCTGAACGCATCCATTCATCTTGCCCTTGGTCTGCCCCTCTTCCTTTTTCCTTCCATTTTTCCCAGCATCATTGTCTTCTCTAAGCTTTCCTGTCTTCTCATGATGTGGCCAAAGTACTTCATCTTTGCCTCTAATGTGCAGCCAAGCATTATTTCCTGGAGGATGGACTAGTTGGATCTTCTTGCAGTCCAAGGCACTCTCAGAACTTTTCTCCAGCACCACAGTTCAAAAGCATCTCTCTTCCTTCGCTCAGTCTTCCTTATGGTTCAGCTCTCACATGCATATGTTACTATAGGGAATACGATTTCTTTAACTATGCAGGTCTTCATTGCCAGTGTGATGTCTCTTAATTATTTTATCAAGATTGGTCATTGCTCTCCTCCCAAGAAGTAAACGTCTTCTGATTTCCTGGCTGCAGTCTACGTCTGCAGTAAACTTGTTTATTATTATTTAAAACTTTTATATCCTGTTCTTCTCTACTTCCGTAGAGGGACTCAGAACGGCTAAAACAAAAATTCAGTGCTAAACAATAAAACATTTTAAAACAACATACATAATACAATAGATTAAAATGCATATAAGTTAAGATACATATAAAACCATTTGCCAAGTTAAAAACATCGTTCAGCTGAATCCGCACATTGCGGTCCAATAATTCTAGTCTTTACTGGTCTCAGTCATCACTCTGCAAATGCCTGATTCCACAGCCAGGATTTTAATTGCTTCCTGAAGGTCAGGAGGGAGGGGGAGACCTGACCTCATTCGGGAGAGAGTTCCATAGCTGGGGGGCCACCATAGAGAAGGCCCTGTCTCTCATTCCCACCAAACGCGACTGTGAAGGTTGTGGGACCGAGAGCAGGGCCTCTCCGGAAGATCTTAACGCCCTTGATGGTTTATAGGAGAGAATACATTCGGACAGGTAAACTGGGCCAGAGCCATAAAGAGTTTTGTAGGTTAAAACCAGCACTTTGCTCCTAGGAATACAAAGCCTGTTGCTGCCTTCATGCTTTCTCTCTCTATTTGCCAGTTATCAATCCATCTGGTTGCCATCATCTGATGTCCCTTCTTTCACCTTGGTTAGAAGGCTCCTCGGCTCCTCCTCTCTTTCAGCCATCAAAGTGTTATCTGCATATATAAGGTTGTTAATGTTTCTTCCAGCAATTTTAACTCCAGCCTTGGATTCACATGAAAACCCACTTAATATGCATTCACATCCCTTCAAGAATCAAGGCTCTGTCCTCATGGACTTCATGGTGTTTCTAAGGCTGGATCTACACTGCCCTATATTCCAGATTATCATCTTAGGGTGCATCTACAGTGTAAAGTTAATGCTGTTTGACACCCTTTCACTGCCACAGCTCAGCGCTGTGGAATCAAGGGAGTTGTAATGTGACAAGGTTTTTAGCCTTCTCTGCTAAACAGTGCCGGTACCTCACCAGACTGCGGATCTCAGAACTCCATAGCATTAAGCCCTTGCAGTTAAAAAGGTATCAAACTGCATTAATTTCACACTGTAGGGCAGGCCTGGGCAAACTTCGGCCCTCCCGGTGTTTTGGACTCCAACTCCCACAATTCCTAACAGCCAGTGGGGGTTGGAGTCCAAAACACCTGGAGGGCCAAAGTTTGCCCTGGCCTGCTGTAAGGGCATTTAGAAAGTTGGGCCAAAACCAAGAGAACCCAGCCAGATCCCTTGGGGAAGATGGTGGGATCTACTAGCATTTTCTTGGAGGTCAGGTTGAAAGTCACCCAATTCACCCAGGTCACCAGCATCAAGATGATCTTTGCAAGTTCTCTGCAGAAAAATGAAAGAAAATTTATTGCTCAAACCCTTTATTTGGACCCCTAAAAAGGGCAGGGACCCCTCCTGAGCCTTCCCACTCTCTCCTTTCTCTGGAGGAACATAGCTGGTGCTCTAGTTCCTGTTGCACACTTCCAGCCCAGGCCTTGTGACTTCAATGAAGCTGGCCAGCAAGGCAAGCAGAAGCTCCGAAAACCACACTTCCAGGTGAGTCCTCTCCGTGATGTGGCCGACCATCAAAACGATCTTGACAGATTAGAGAGATGGGCCAAAACTAACAAAATGAAGTTCAACAGTGACAAATGCAAGATACTCCACTTAGGCAGAAAAAACAAAATGCAAAGATACAGAATGGGGGACAATGCCTGGCTCAAGAGCAGTACGTGTGAAAAAGATCTTGGAGTCCTCGTGGACAAAAAGTTAAACATGAGCCAACAATGTGATGTGGCGCCCTTCTCACCCAGCAGGGGACTCAGGGCGGATTACAGTAAACACATATATGGCAAACATTCAATGCCAGTTTGACAAACAACATTTAACAGACAAAGGCTATTTAACTTTTTTTTTCTGGCTGCCAGGGGAGCTGCTGCTTTTCATCGTCCATCAACGACACCGATGAAGTTCTTCCGCATTCCACATTCCCCGGAGTCTTTTCTTTATGGCCTCATAAATTAGTTAATTTAGCCTCCCACACAAGGTGGTACCTTATTTTCCTACTTGACAGATGCAACTGTCTTTCGGGTTGCAAAGGTCGACAACAGGCTACACAATGGCTGGACACCCACTCCAGCCCGGGCTGGCTTCGAACTCATGACCTTTTGGTCAGAGTGATCTTAATGCAGCTGACACTCAGCCAGCTGCGCCACAATCCCTAAGTGAAACAAAAGCTTTAGTGATATCTATATTCATTCCAGGGATTTTGGCCTGCATCAAGAGGAGCATCGTGTCTAGATCTAGGGAAGTTTGGTTAGACCACACCTGGAATATTGTGTCCAATTCTGGGCACCACAATTCAAGAGAGATATTGACAAGCTGGAATGTGTCCAAAGGAGGGCGACTAAAATGATCAAGGGTCTGGAGAACAAGCCCTATGAGGAGCGGCTTAAGGAGCTGGGCATGTTTAGCCTGAAGAAGAGAAGGCTGAGAGGAGATATGATAGCCATGTATAAATATGTGAGAGGAAGCCACAGGGAGGAGGGAGCAAGCTTGTTTTCTGCTTCCCTGGAGACTAGGACACGGAACAATGGCTTCAAACTACAAGAAAGGAGATTCCATCTGAACATGAGGAAGAACTTCCTGACTGTGAGAGCCGTTCAGCAGTGGAACTCTCTGCCCCGGAGTGTGGTGGAGGCCCCTTCTTTGGAAGCTTTTAAACAGAGGCTGGATGGCCATCTGTCAGGGGTGATTTGAATGCAATATTCCTGCTTCTTGGCAGAATGGGGTTGGACTGGATGGCCCATGAGGTCTCTTCCAACTCTTTGATTCTATGATTCTATGATCCCTCTGATGGCTTGTGTCGCTCTTCACGGTAAGCTGTCGGGCCCATCGCCATCTCAAGTGCCCCCTCCTCAGCGTGACAGCCTTTCAAATATTGAAACACGGCAAGCTAAACATACCCAGCTTACTCAGCTGTTCCTCAAAGGGCTTGGTTTCCAAACCTTTGATAATTTGGGTTGCCTTTATCTGGACACTTTCCAGCTTGTTAATATCTCTTTTGAACTCAGAACTGGACACAGGGTTATTCCAGGTGAGGTCTGACCAAAGCAGAATACAATGACACTACAACTTCCCTCGATCATGACACTATACTCCTCTTGATGTCTTTTTAAGCTGCCGCATCACTGTTGATTCATGTTCAGCTGGTGGTCTACTAAGACTCCTAGATCCCCTTTACATAATAATAATAATAATAATAATAATAATAATAATAATAATAACAACAACAACAACAGATCCCAAATGTAGACTCTGCAAGGAAGCAGATGAAACAATAGATCACATCCTCAGCTGCTGCAAGAAGATGCGCAGACAGACTACAAGCAGAGGCATAACACCGTTGCTCAGATGATTCATTGGAACTTGTGCCACAAATACCATCTGCCTGCGACAAAGAACTTGTGGGATCACAAGCCGGAAAAAGTTACAGACGATGAACACGTCAAACTCCTGTGGGACTTCCGGATTCAGACAGACAGAGTTTTTGAACATAATACTCCTGACCTCACAATCGTGTTAAAAATCAAAGTATTGATTGTCGATGTTGCAATCCTAGGTGACAGCAGGATTGCAGAGAAACAACTGGAAAAGCTGACATAATATGAGGATTTAAAAATCAAACTGCAAAGACTCTGGCACAAACCAGTCAAGGTGGTTCCAGTGGTGATCGGCACACTGGTGCAGTGCCTAAAGACCTTGGCCTG